CTGAAAAAGAAAACAAATCATAAATTATTTTGTCATTATGTATTCTTTATTCATATGTTCAATTAAATTATCAAAATAGTTCTCTTTCACAAAAGGACTTTTTTCAGCGTAAAGCAGTTGCTAATATTTGTTAACGTTACTTATACACATATTTTGTATTAAGATTCCACGGCTTGATTCCACTTCTTCCCCTTTGTGGTAATAAGTTGAAAACTAAATATTAACTTGCTTGACAGAATCCTCCTAGTTGGGTAAGGCTTTCAACGTGGTGTTCAAAGTTTTAGTTTTTAGCTTTACTCAATAAAGGAGAACTAATGATATTATGCCCACTTGAGATTAAACGAAAAAAACCTTCGAGCATTGCAAAATGCGAATGAAATTCATCTATTTATAATTCTGGAAATTAGTTAATTTGTTAGTCTGTTTTCTTCTTTTAGCACATGAATATCACTGTTGATTCTGATGGAACTTTAATCATTGCATTACAATATAATTTTTAGATGGTGATTATATTTAACTATTTACCATGCCATAGGTTGTTTGCCAGAGATACAAAACAAATTCAACATGAACACAGGTCATTATATTATTCATATAATTTCTTCTAAACAAGGGGGTTAAAAGGGCTTAACCAAGAACCTGATCTGTATTGAGATTAATATTAATTTTTAAGAAAAAATTACTACAATGCCTGAGTGCTTAAATGAAGGCGAATGAAAGATCCAAATTATGCTTAAATTATTATGCGTAGTGCTTAAAATGAAGGAAAATGAAAGACTTAATTTATGAGAATAATGTATAGAGCTACCAGAGAAAGAATGTAGATTTCGTCATAAATTTTTGGGTTTTAATACACTTAAACATAAAATGGGTCATTCATTCACCTTCATTAATTTTTAATTTACTGTGCACTTTATTTAATGTTGTGTAACAATCGTATTATGTACAGAGTGAAGTAGGAACCAAAGAGAGATATGGAGAACAGAGAGGGACACTGAGAGGGAGTCTGAGAAATATATGGATGTTTTTAGAGATCTTTAAGATGGAGTGAGATGTTTTTGTGTTCTGGGATATTTAAGGGTCACCAAGTTGTAATGAAAAGTGAATAAAAAGTAGATGACTTTATGAATAGCAAAGAAAATGGCGCACAGCGAGTTAAAGGAGATATGAGATGCACAGCGTTAAGGCAGAGGTAAAGAGGAAGAGAGAGAGAGAGAGAGAGAGAGAGAGAGAGAGAGAGAGAGAGAGAGAGAGAGAGAGAGAGAGAGAGAGAGAGAGAAGGGGACTTTTATCATGCAGTAGGATACGTCAAAGACTCAAAATTAGGAATTTCAGGTTCCTTCTCTATGGTAGGTTGGAAGCATTTGAGCAACGGTTCTTTTCACTTGATGTCCCTGGTCACCTAGCAGTAAATTGGTAGCTTGGAGTTAAGCAGTTATTGCGCACTGCACCCTGAGATGGTGAGTAGTTAAATACGCATGCAGGCAGAGTTGGTCCGAGAAATGGTTACTGGATTTCAACACCAGCAAATGTAAGGTGATGGAAATGGAAATAAGTGACAGGAATCTAATAGGACGGTACACAATGAAGGGGGGAAACTACCTCCCTGTAACGACCAGAGGAAACGAGATCTGGGAGTGGAAATAACATCAAGGCTAACCTCACATATAAACAGGATAACATCAACAGCATACTCTACAAAAGTCTAATTTTGTAGAACATCTAGTTCTACTCTACTTCAGCAAAAGTCAGAACCATCATTCATGATCCTTAATAAGGAGATATTTAGATCTCTGTACGCCGCCTAAAGAGAGACTAGTATTAGAGGATTGGGAAGCCCTCATCTAAAAAAAAAACTCATTAGTAAACTCTAACAAAAGATGCAACGAAATTTGCCACAAAGCTCATCCCAGAATTGAGGTATAAGGGATATGGAAAAAAGACTGAAAGAACTAGACCTGACGTCGCTAGAAAAGAGGAGGGAAGGGTAGACATGACACAGACATACACCATACTAATGGAGATTGACAGAGTGGACAAATAGGAAATGCATACAACGAATGTCAAGAGATCACGAGGAGGGTGGAAGCTTGAGAAACACATGAGCCACAGAGATATAAGAAAGTTTTCTTTAAGTGAAACAGTAAGGGGAAAATAGAATTTTTCGAAATCCATTCGTAAAGTTAATAGTAGATAAGACAAGGAAATAGGTCAGGATTCATGACATTAGACAAACGACGGTTAGCAAGGCAAAGTTCAAGTGATAAAATTCGCTTCTACGGACCTAAATAGGTAAGTACACACACACATAAAAGCAGCAAATCACGTTAATAAAATGTTTTAAAGAAATAAAAAAAAAATAAAAAACGGAAAATGTTGCAACCACAACACACTTTGAGTCATTGTTGATTATGTTGTAGTATGTATGTTGTGCTTTTCTACAACATGACTCTAAACAATTAATGGGTAACAAAGGTGCAATCCATTAGAAGCAATATTTTCTAATTCTTTTTTTCAAAACCTCAGCTTATGAATACTGAGAACTCTAAATACGTAAAAAAAAGCTATTTTGTTTTGTTATATATATATATATATATATATATATATATATATATATATATATATATATATATATATATATATATATATATATATATATATATATATATATATATATATATATATATATATATATATATATATATATATATATATGTCGTACCTAATAGCCAGAACGCACTTCTCTGCCTACTATGCAAGGCCCGATTTGCCTAATAAGCCAAGTTTTCATGAATTAATTGTTTTTGGACTACCTAACCTACCTTCCTAACCAAACCTAACCTAACTTTTTCGGCTACCTAACCTAATCTAACCTAAAAAGATAGGTTAGGTTAGGTTAGGTAGGGTTGGTTAGGTTAGGTTAGGTTAGGTTAGGTAGGGTTGGTTAGGTTTGGTCATATATCTACGTTAATTTTAACTCCAATAAAAAAATATTGACCTCATACATAATGAAATGGGTAGCTTTATCATTTCATAAGAAAACAAATTGAGAAAATATAATAATTCAGGAAAACTTGGCTTATTAGGCAAATCGGGCCTTGCATAGTAGGCCGAGAAGTGCGTTCTGGCTACTAGGTACGACATATATATATATATATATATATATATATATATATATATATATATATATATATATATATATATATATATATATATATATATATATATATTACACACAAGAGCTCTTACATTCTTGTACAGCGCATTGCACGCATAGCGTTTCGGGAAGTCCGTAATCCTAATTTTCACACACGCACACACATCCCCAGAAAGCAGCCCGTAGCAGCTGTCTAACTCCCAGGTACCTATTTACTGCTAGGTGAACAGGCGCATGAGGGTGAAAGAAACTCTGCCCACTTTTTTCAGCCTCCGCCGGGGATCGAACCCGGACCCCTTTGGACTACGAACCTACGTCAGGCCCCCCGGCGTGACGGGGACCTGACGCTAGACGAATTATATATAATTATAAATAATAGAATTATTTAATTATATTTTTGCCCACATATGACAAGTTGTTAACAGGCTTTCTATATATACTATACTTAAGAAAAAAATGTTAAGAAAAGGCTTGGTAGCCAGAGTGTATGCAAGCAATGTGTGAAACCCTGATTTGGTTTCAGTGGAAGCCTCAGCACCTTCCTAGAGGGTTCAGCTCAATACCAGGTTGCATTGCGTTTGAGTACATCGTGGTTAAGTGGTTTAAGGCATGTGCTTGCGAGTAACCCGTTTGTAGGTTCGAATTCTCTTCATGGCTCCTATTATTTTTATTAATTTTATTATTATTATTATTTCGTTTTGTTTTTATATATTTTCGGTAATGTTATATTTTATAATTAATGTTTTTATTATCGTTTCTCGTTTTATTGATATAGACATTATCGTCGACGTTCTTATTATTGCACTTGTTAATTTCTGCAAATGGAAATATAAATAGGATGGAAAATAGGATGGGTAGGAAAATAGGAAAATAGGAAAATGGAAAATAGGAAAATGGAAAATAGGAAAATGGAAAATAGGAAAATGGAAAATAGGAAAATAGGATAGGAAAATAGGATAAATAGGATGGAAATATAAATAGGAGTGATAACAAATCAATTAAGTTAGCTTCGTTATGTACCCGTTGGTTTGGCCGTCATCGTCAAGTCAATATGTAGAAATTAGAGTTTTAAAAATTACTTTTCACCTCCCTTCATTTTAAGGTGATTGTGTTTACTGCTACAAGAAACAGACTTTGCGCTAGTTCAAAAAAAGATATTGAGATACTGTTAAATTGAAGGAGAAAATTTCTTTAATGCTACACTGATTTTTGTCGAAAAGTTGACATAAAAATTGACAGAATGGCGTGAATGGAACACACCATTCTCCCGTCTCCTCCTTCCCTGTCCACACATGCCCTTACATCTGTCTTCTCCCACTCTGTCCACAAACGTCTATCCTCCACCTCTCTCTCTTTCTCCTCCTGCTCACACCTTCCCTTCTCCCTGTCAAAGTATCAAAAAGGTTGTGCCCAAAATGCAAATCTATTATCTGAACATATGCTTTGAAAATAACATATTAATTTACTATTATTTAAACTAATAATAAACTCTATGGACCCGACACTTAACATTTCACATCCACAAACTTCGTGAAGGACATTTGGGGCTTTGTCCCCTTCACTGAGGTAATGGGACGACCCTCAACACCTCTATGACACTCTCAATAAAATAACCATTAATCTTATGAAGTTATTAAATAAGCCTAGCCCATACGTCTCGCCTCCACCCTCGCACAAACAGACCTTCTCCACCACTCCACCACTTCGTATATTATAGAAGTATATTTAAAATGATTTTGAGTCATCTGTATTTATTTCCTGCATTTTGTGTTTGTATTGTCTGCAAATTTCTGACTGTTGTTGTTGAGCCTTGTAAACAAGAGGGGGTAGAGGAGACAGCCTT